TACCTAGGCAGTCTGCCTCCTCCGTTTTTTGTCCCCTGTGGCCTGGCCTTGGCCTGTTACTCTGGGTGCTTGATGGTGCTTCCCCCACCTCCAGATCCCAGTGGCTGTCAAGTCCCTCCGTGTCGGTCCCGAGGGTCCAATGGGCACAGAGCTGGGAGACTTCCTGCGGGAAGTGTCTGTCATGATGAAGCTAGAGCACCCACACGTGCTGCGTCTGCATGGCCTCGTTTTGGGCCAGCCTCTACAGATGGTGAGCAGATACGGGCACTGCTTTCCTCACAGCCTCAGGGCTGGTATGCAGCAAGAAAGACCAGTGGGGCCACACTATGGCTTACATGGCACTGTGTTCCTGCAGGTGATGGAGCTGGCACCATTGGGCTCCCTGCATGCGCGCCTGACTGCCCCAGCGCCGACACCCCCACTGCCTTTGTCCCTTCTGTGCCTCTTCCTGCGTCAGTTGGCAGGAGCCATGGCGTACTTGGGGTCCCGTGGGTTAGTGCACCGGGATCTCGCTACCCGCAACCTGCTGCTGGCCTCAGCACGTACCATCAAGGTGGCAGATTTTGGACTTGTGAGACCTCTGGGCGGCGCCCGGGGTCGCTACGTCATGGGCGGGCCCCGTCCCATCCCCTATGCCTGGTGAGGGCGGTACTCTGATGGTCTGGCTTGGGGCAGGGCTGGGGAGTCAGGGTTAGGCTGGGCTGGAGAGCAGCAGCCTGTTAGGAAGTAGGGCCGGGTAGTGTGTTGGGGGGAGGAGGCAGGACAGAGGCGTCAACTGGTCCAGAAGCACAGAAAGGATTTCTGAGGCTGATGGGGGCGGGGAGGGCATCAAGGGAGTGGGTGCACAGTGGGAGCTGGGCTGGGCATAGACCCAGCCACCTTCAACTTGTGTTTCCCTTAGGTGTGCCCCCGAGAGCCTACGCCAGGGAGCCTTCTCATCTGCCTCTGATGTGTGGATGTTCGGCGTGACGCTGTGGGAAATGTTTTCTGGAGGCGAGGAACCCTGGGCAGGTGTCCCACCGTATCTCATCTTACAGCGGCTTGAGAAGGAGCGAGCCAGGCTGCCAAGGCCTCCCCTCTGCTCCAGGGCCCTCTACTCACTAGCCCTGCGCTGCTGGGCTCCTCACCCTGCAGACCGGCCTAGCTTTTCCAACCTGGAAGGGCTGCTTCAAGAGGTGGGGGTCCTCAACTCTCCAGACACACACAGCCTTTCTTCCCTTTGTCCTCTCACCCAGAGTTCCGTGCATAAGACAAACGTGTCGTGATGCCTGGGCCGGAACCTGCAACTTAGCTCAGAACCAAACAGATCCAGTCCCTTCCTGCAGGAAGTCCAGAGCCCTGAGGAGGCAGCTGGGGGCTGCAAAATGCAGCTGGAAGACGTGGTGTTGGCCACAAGAGAGGCTCGGAAGAGAGAGTAGTAGTTCTCATGGTGCTTGATCAGCAGACAAAGAGAAAGTCTGTGAGGGAGGGCGAGTGGGAGTAATGGGGCTGCAGTTGTGAGCAGGGCTTCGCCATGGCAAGTTTGGGAGACTTGACCAGTGTGATACACTCCCAAGTACTTTTACGGGTGTCCTCAGCCACTGTTTCACAGCGCCTGGAGGTAATTAATCTCTAACAGATGGGCAGTTCAGACACTGAGAGGTCAGTGACTTATCTAAAGTCACACAGTAAGTGGGCGTGCTGAGAGTAGTACCATCCACGTGACTTCAGAGCTGGTCCATTAGTCAGTCTGTCTACTTCTTAAGGCAGTTTGGTCTTCACTCTGAGGGCTGTGGGAGCTGTGGAAGGGAAGGGTAGGGATCAGAGTAAGTGTTGCAATCTAGCTGGGTCTGAGCATGCTAGCGGGAATGTGACTGACGGTGCCGGGAGGCAGAGGTGCAAGAGAACTCCAGCCTCGGGCCTGGGAGGAATGGAAATGACCCTGAGATGTGTGGGGGCAGACATGGCGGGCATGGGTGTGGAATAAAGGAAGTAAGCTGAGTGGTCCCCCCTTGGTCCCATTAAGGGGAGGCAAGGTTCTCCTGTGTGGTTTCTTGCATCCCATGTCCAGCATGGCATGGAGTCCAGGTCAGCGACCCTACCCCCCTTTGGGTTGCAACAGGGAGACAGGGATGGAGCTAAGCACAGAGGACACACTTGGTATGTGTTTATTTGCTTGATGGATACAAACGAAGGTTCTTTCTTTGACTGTCTTATTACTCTTATAACTTAGGTCGAAAGCCCAGCCACATTTCTTCTGTCTCCACAGGCTTGGCTTTCTGAGGGACGTTGTGTGAGGGAAGTCACAGAGCCGGGTGCTTTGCGGATGGAGCCCGGTGATCCCATCACTATCATTGAGGGCAGGTGACAACATTATGTCTCCTAAGCATCCCCGGGGGAGGCACCCTCCCAGCCTCCTGGTCTCTTAATTTCTCTCCATCTCCTTGAATCTCGGGCTTGCGGGTCTTTTTCTCTCCTCTCCAGCGTGCCCTGAGCTCCAGCGCAGTCCTGCCCTCCCTGCTGGAGCCCTGCCTGGCCCACAGTGCCCTGTTTGTGTTGGAGAGAAAAAGGCTTCCCTTCCTCCAGGCAGATGTGGCCTCAAGACACATGGCTTGATGAGCTGAGCATGGCCTGAGACCAGCTGCCACTCTCCCTGACCCCATTTTCTTCACCAGCTCCTCTTTCCACAGCCCTGACACCACAACCTGGAAGGGCCAGAATGGTCGCACCTTCAAAGTGGGCAACTTTCCGGCTTCAGCAGTGACACTACCAGACTTGGGGGCTTCGCCAGTCTCCCGTCCAGCCCATGGAGGTTCCCCTGCCCGGGGAGAGAGGTGCCGAGGAAGCATAGACGGGTGAGGCACCATAAGGACAGGAGGGGACAGAGTGGGGCTGGAGGGACTGACCGAATCTAGTAACTTCTCTGGAAGAAAGCCTGGGAACAGGACTAGTGTGATCTAGGAGTGTAAGAATGGATTGCTGCCCGCTGGGACTCCCCCCGTGGGTCTCAGCATGTGTGGGACCCATGTTGAGGGTGAGTAGTGGAGGATGAACTAGATCACTCTTTGACGGGACAGAGAGAAGACAAAGTTTCAGGATCCACCACTGGCGCGGGGCCCGAGAAGACAGGCGCCCCTGCAGAGGACGAAAGGTACCCAGGCTCTCAGGAGCCCTCCCATCCCTCCCAACCTCCGATCCACACATTCGCATATGTGCTTTCCTCCTCCAAACTCCATCTTTGGATAGCCTGCCTTTACTGTAAGATCTTTGCAGGGGAAGGGCGGGGGCGGGGTCGGCAGGTGTTCAAGTCAAGGTTTCTCTGTGGAACAGTCCTGGCTGTCCTGGAATTCTGGCCTCAAACTCAGAGATACACCTGCTTCTGCCTCCCAAGTGCTGGGGTTAAAGGTGTGTGCCATCATCACCTGGCATACTTGGAGACCTTAAGAAACTGGCAGTGCCCTGTTCCCCCTGGACAGCATCTCCTAGGTCTGGCCCCCCTAGGCCTGGCCCCCCTAGGCCTGGCCCCAACACTGTTCTTTGAATTCCTAGCTGCCTTGGTACCATTTCTATACCCATCCTACTGTCCCACCTAACACAGACACCTCAAGACTAGGCTAGCTAGCTTATCTAAATATTTTTTCAGAACCACACAGCTCAGTGCATACGGACAGGCAGGCAGGAAGGTGGGCCTCCTTTCAAGTTGTTTCTCTCTCAACTCTGAAGGCATTTCCAAGAGTCTGGAGTCAGTTCTGTCCCTGGGCCCTCGACCCACAGGAGGTGGTTCAAGCCCTCCCGAACTTCGACATACAAGAGTTATGCCCCAGGGGCTCCCAGACCTGCCTCCACGCCCACCTTTTATCTCCAGCTCTTCCCAGCCCAGCCAGCCCCACAAAGCACGGCCTCCCTGCCCCAAAAGAGAACCCTTACACTATCACCGCACTGGAGTAGCTGGAGCCAGCAAAGCCACTGTCCCTTCTGGAGGCCCCTTGGCAGACCCCGAGTGGCAGAGGAAGATTATAGAGGTGAGGTCTCAACTGAAATGACTTGGTGTTTAAAGGGCCTAAGGCCAGGACAAGAGCTAAACAAGGACTTGTCCCCCACAGGTAGAGCTGGGTGTACATGGAGTCACCTACCAGGAGTGTCAAGTGGCACTCAGAACTACTGGAGGAGATGTGGCTTCCGCTATCCGGAACCTCAAGGTAAAGCCAGCCCCTTCTCCAGCTTCCCTCGTCTCCCGCTCTGCCCCCTAGTGGTCAGCTGCCCTCCTCCCTGCTCCCACAGGTAGACCAGCTCTTCCACCTCAGTAACAGGTCCAGAGCAGACTGCCGTCGCATCCTGGAACATCACCAGTGGGACCTGTCAGCAGCCAGTCGCTACGTCCTGGCCCGGTCCTGAACTCTGCATCCTTGGGGATGGCTACCAGCATGGAGAACCTGGCCCATTTTGGGCCTGACCTTACAGGACCAAACAGACCCATGAGGTCTTGACAGAGGCGGAGTTTTACACCAGGGGAGCTCTTACCTGCTCTAAGGAGGGTTAGGAAGTGTGCAGGCCACCGAGTTAAGCACTGATGAGTGTTTCTTCCATGCCCTCCCTGCTCCTTGACCTCTGAGGGTTTAAGAAGCTTTGACTGGACCAAGAAGGATGTAGTCCACTCTGCCTACCACATTCCCAATCGAATAGGACTTGAAAGAGAAAAGTTGCAGAGGAAGCCTCTACTCACTACAGACAACCATCAATAACTGTACTGGACCATGGAACAACTGTTAGAACCGTCATTAGCTACCTCACTAGACTCTACCGGGCACCCATCTTGGATGCTGACTTGGGGGCTGTGACCCAAACTGCTTTGGTTTGGTCCAGAATCACCATGGGTGATGAAAACTAAGTTTTTGGACTCAATGATTTAGTCCAAATGGTATAGATTATGAGACCGCTGACCGTAGCCCGGCTATTGCCTTTGTTTTATCCTACATCGGTTCTTTTTTCTTCCCTCTCTTATCACATACATCTTCCAATGATTAAAAAGTTGCAAAGTTTATATGAATACAACATACAAAGACACAGCCTCCTTCCTGGAGCAGGGGAAGGAAGGGGCTAATGGTTAAATAAGGCACAGGAAGCGGCAGAAAGCACCAGCAAGGCCCAGGGGGTTAGGAAGGAGGCAGGGACCCTCCCAGTGCCACCATCTGAAGCTAAACTAATGGCTGACATGGCATGAGGGAAGAGTGGCGTGTCTGCCGTCTTTGGTACTGCTTGCTGCTTACCCACCAGCCCTGTTGTAAAACTTGAGTCCTGGATTCCAAAGGCCTCTTCCTGTGCAGAGGCCCTGGAGGCAGGTTGGGAGGAGGGGGTGGGAAGGCTCAAAATCTAATATTGTGTGCGTAGGGACTGCTGGGAGATGGCGAAACACAGTGAGGAAGGGTTTTACATACTCCTGCGGGGCCACAGGTGAAGGAGGGGGGAGAGGGGAGGGGTGGGGCACACTGGCTCCCAACCACTCAGTCACCCATCTGTCCGCTGCAGTGTATACCAAGGAAGGGGTTGCCTCAGGAGGGAGAGACAGGGCAGGTGACCATCTTCAATTCTGGTTGTGATGGTCTCCTCATGCTGAGGTGGCTTCTAACTGGTGACGGCAGAGGGCCCAGCGCCTCCTCGCTTCTCGAAGAACATGTAATCCTAAGGAAAGGTCACTGTCAGTGTGGCCCAGCTATTATAACTTAGCTTCAGACCTACAACCCACCATACACATGCCTAGACTTCTAGTAAGGGCCCAGGAGAGGAGAAACAGGAAGGGCAGGGACAGCCAACTCACAATGAGGAACGTGGCTCCCAGCAACACAGCCTTCACCCTCACGTCTAGATCTATCGGGAACTGAAGGCCAAAGTCGTCAGCATCGGTGAGGGCTTCGCGAAGCAACCCTCCCCACTGCTTGCTGATGCGGCCCACACTTCGAGATTCATCCTTAGTTTTCACCTGTTGGGAGGGAAGAAGGATCCAACTGGGAAAGATGCTACCCATTTCCCTGCCTCCTGTCTCACTCTACAGCTGCATGTATGAGATGTGCGGACTGGTACTCAGTGAATCTTCCCAAGTGTTGGGTTTCCATAAGACAAGCAGGGAAGCCGGGCGTTGGTGGCGCACGCCTTTAATCCCAGCACTCGGGAGGTAGAGGCAGGCGGATCTCTGTGAGTTCCAGGCCAGCATGGTCTACAGAGTGAGTTCCAGGACAGCCTCCAAAGCCACACAGAAACCCTGTCTCGAAAAACCAAAAAAAAAAAAAAAAAAAAAAAAAGACAAGCAGGGAAACTGAGATACCCCGGGTACCACACGAATACACGGTGAAGATTAGGGTTAGATCTGTTGCTTCCGAACCCTAACCCTGACATAACTGTATTCGGTGATAAATGACTAGTTGCTAGGCTTGCTTTGGTTACCAGTGTTCCTGATACCCACGGCTGGTGCTGTATGCAAAGTATCCGCCCTATGCAAAGGAGCCTAGCTGAGGGGGCAAAGGGAGGAGCCAAAGATGCTCCCCAAAGTGTGATTTCCATCTTTCCAGCGCTGAATGTGAACCTCATCTAGAGGGCAGCCAGTCCTAGCAGACAGAGGCCAACAGGCAGCCTCTGAGGACTGTGATTCTCAATTAAGTTCAGCAAGAACAAGCCATGTGGAAGTCAGTGACTCAGTGACTCCCAGGTCCAGTGACCAGAACTGAAGTGACTTCCTTCTACATCCTGTGCATCCTCTTCCCCCCTTGTCCTGCAGCCGAGTTCCAGGCTCAGCAAGGTCTTCTGCTACCAACCCTGCATTTCCGAGAGTGCAGATCAAGTATGAACCATTCAAGATTGTGTAAAAGGGACACTGGCTCCCTGAGAACCCCACAACACACACCTTCCCATCCAGGGATCACACAATTATCTCCTTTCCAACCAGTTCTCAGGATAGCAACTCCCTCTGACTACCAAGGTGACTCACTTTCTACAGACAACCTTAGGTGAGGCACCGCTACTGGATGAAACCTGTTTCTCCTTTATCTGAATGGAGAATCATCCCTTAAAGAGTCTGTGCAGTGCCTCTGTCTTCTTTTTTTTTTTTTTTTTTTTTTTTTTTGGTTTTTTCGAGACAGGGTTTCTCTGTGGCTTTGGAGGCTGTCCTGGAACTCGCTCTGTAGACCAGGCTGGTCTTGAACTCACAGAGATCCGCCTGCCTCTGCCTCCCTAGTGCTGGGATTAAAGGCGTGCACCACCAACGCCCGGCTAGTGCCTCTGTCTTCTAAGAGCCAAAGCGTTTCCCAAGCTTCATTCTCAAATTCTCACCACTTGGTTCTGGCTCTGGCGAGAGGAAGTCACAGTGAGGACATCACCTGGACTTCAGGTTGGACAGGTCATTTGGACTTCTAAATTCGCAGGACAAGCCAAGGGTGAAATTACTGCAGAATCTATGCTTACAGATAGGTCCCGTGGCAAACTTAAGCACTGAAAGAAGACTAAGATAATGGTCCCCCACCTTAGATCTAGGCTGGCCTCATATTCTCCCCAGACCCCCACACACATGGGGCTGTAGGGAACACTTGGCCTTGGCCTGAAGATTAAATTCCTTTGTTTCAGACAGGTCCCGACTGCCCTTGAACTCAGATCGGTGTGCCTCTGCCTCCTGAGTGCTAGGGTTAAAGGTGTGCACCACCATGGAATCGTTTTAGCTGTGCTTTTGCAGGCTAACAGGACCATCTCATTTCTGAATGGAAAGTACAGTAGGGACCACAACAGATTCAGAATTATCAGATTGAGGTTCTTTTTTATTTTATTTATTTATTTTTTTTGGTTTTTCGAGACAGGGTTTCTCTGTAGCTTTGGAGGCTGTCCTGGAACTCGCTTTGTAGACCAGGCTGGCCTCGAACTCACAGAGATCCGCCTGCCTCTGCCTCCCTAGTGCTGGGATTAAAGGCGTGCGCCACCAATGCCCGGCTTCAGATTGAGGTTCTTGACCTTAAGCTATCTATTGGCACGGGAGCTACCATCTTGCTTTTCTAATTACTTTTTAAAAAATTTATTTATTTATTATGAATACAACATCCTGCCTCCATGTATGTCTGCAGGCCAGAAGAGGGCACCAGATCTCATTACGGATGGTTGTGAGCCACCATGTCGTTGCTGGGAATTGAACTCAGGACCTCTGGAAGAACAGTCAGTGCTCTTAACCTCTGAGCCATCTCTCCAGCCCTCTAATTACTTTTTGTGATTGGTTGCATGTGCTCCATGCCATGTGTGGGGAGAGCAGAGGCTAGTTTGCAGGGGTTGACTCTCTTCTTCTACCATGTGGGACTCAAGGCTAGAACTCAGACTTGGTGACAAGTCCCTTGACCCTCTGAGCCATCTCATCGGCCCCCATCTTGGTTATGAAGAGCCTAGGAATCACTTCCTACTTATAATACCTCAAAGTTGGTATCTGTGCCACAGCCACAGGTCCAGCAAGGTCCCACAACTCGAAGGACAGTCTGGCGATCCGCATCCTGGATGGAAAACTTAGGAAGGAAGGGATGCCAGGTCTGCAGCACATGGCCAATGGTGGTGCCGGGTGGGGCCTGCACTTCCATCTGAAGAGGGGGGCAGACAGGGGGCAGACAGGGGCACTGTCAAGCCAGGGAGCCCTGGTCAGAGCTCCTCATTGGTGCCAGCTGTCATCTGACTATTCAGACCCCCATGAAACCTCCCTCTCCTATTAAAGCCACAACCCTTTCTGGGCTGCTCTCTATACTGCCCATCAACCACCACGAAACCTGCTCTACCCACCTCCTGAAGGCCACAGGGACAGCAGCTGCAGCCACAGTGAAGAGGGCGGAGGAGGCGGAGCACCTCTCGGTCCCCAGGGTCGGCTAGGCGGACACGGAGTGGCCGGCGGGCACCACAGCACAGACGGGCACAACAGTTGCTCTCTTCAGCTGCCTGACCCAGTTGCTGTCCGGTCCCAGAACGAAGTTCATACCTATTACAGGTCTCCCAGCCTAGGAACGCTGTTAAGAGCGACATGCTGAGGTTCAAGGGCCTCACCTGCCCAGAAGCTCACCACTGCAGCAAACATCATAAAGCCCAACTCGTTCTCCCACTCACTTTCCACTCGTTCAGCCTTCTGATGAATCAAGATTTGATCGATCTGTAAAGAGTCAAGGGCAGCGTTGACCTTATCCATCAGTTCGAACACCAGCTCTCCTCCCAGCCATCCTCCCTCCCACTCACCTGCACTAGGAATTCGAGACCAGAAGGCACCCCTGGCAGCGGCAAGAAAGGAGCAGGAGACCCTGGGGCCACGGGGCCTGGCGAGGGGAAGACAGCGAAGCCAGGCGCAGGGGCCGGCACCTGGGCAGGCACTGGAACCTGTCCGGGACCAGGATGCAGCGCAGGCTCTGGATACCCAGCTGTCACTGGGTATGGAGGTGGGGGCGAAGGGGCGTAGCCTTTGGAGGTTAAGTAGCCTGTAGGGGAGCAAGGGTAGGTTAGAAAGTTACCTGTGGCCTCAACCTCTTGTTTCTCAGCCCAAAGGCCAGGAGTACCCACGGGAAACATAAGAAGAGGGATAGAATGATGGGGCGGGGGGGGGGGGGGGAGCAGGGCGGTGGCTCCCCAGGAGGAAGGGAGGGCCCCACGCAGCCAGTCTGAGCACATTCCTGGAGAATGTGTTCGACACCCGGCACCCAGGTTCGTGAGGGGGGGGATAACGCGGACCCCAGCCTAGCCCCCACATACCTGCCATGGAAAAGGGGAGGGGCGTCTTGGGCTGTCGGTGTCCGGGAGGCTTAGCTCTGGAGTGGAGACAAGCTCGGGAACAGCCAGACAGACACAGACACAAAGACGGACAGGCAAAGGCGAGGAGGCAGCAGCGCCTAGCGCGGGCCCAGGGTCTCTTGGGCGGCGCCTATGACTCAGGGGAAAAACCGAAAGTGTCAGCGGGAGGGGCGGGGTACCTGGGACCCTGAATTTCCTTAGGGGCCCCAGGACCGCCCCCTCCCTTTGTTCTCCCATTTTCCGCGGAGATGGCTATTGGCAGACGGCAGGACAGAGGGACCCGCGGTCAGACAGACGACCTGACCTCGAGGAAGGTCTCCCTGACCCCTCTATGGTCCGGCTCACCTGAAGCCCCCAGAATAAGCCGGGGGGCTACTCACTCCAGGGCTCACAGGCGCTGGTGGAGGCGGGCCCGGGATCTGACCCCACCCCCGGCTCGCCTCGGCCCCGCCTCCAGCCCGGGCGGGGCGTCTGCGCAGAAAACAGCGGCTTCTCCTCCCCCGGGGCCGCGGACCTTGGACCTTGTGCGCCTTGTTCGCCGTGGTCCCGCCCCTTCCGCTCCGACTGCAGAGGCGTGGAGACCTGGGCTGTCGGAGGGGACTGCGGCCCAATCCCCACGCGGCGACCCTTAACCTTCTTGGAAGGCGGCTGTGCAGCCTCCCCACCGCGTGGCTGCTCCGGATCCGGCGATCCTCCTCCCAAGGGCGGGTCGGGCGTCGCTGACGCAGCGGAGCGCCATTCACATTGGCTCCCAGAGTTTTCCTTCCACCTCAGGGCGACCTCGCTGTGTTCTCTCCCTGTCGCAGCGTTGACCCACACAGGCACCTCTCGGTTCAGGCGCGCCCATTACGCGCACGCGTGACAGGGTGCCAAAGGTGCGTGAGGTGATGCTCAGGGAAAGACACTTGAATGGAACAGGTCCCTGTTCCCCTGCATGGTGGCACTCGCTTGTCATCCCAGCACTCGGGGAGGGAGAGGCAGGAGGACAGCTACGAGTCTGAGGCCAATCTGTTCTATATAGTGAGTTCCAGAACAAGTCAGGGCTACAATAGGTAGACCCTCCCTCAAAAGAAGAAAGCATAGCGTCTAGGTCGGTGTGGATCATGTCCCACATTGCAGCACTTTAACGACTGAGGCAGGAGGATCTCCATGAGTTAGTTCCAGGTCATCTTGGGAGATACTATTTGAAAACGAACCAAACCAAAAACAGCCCACCACTTCTACCTGGATCTTACTCGTTGTCAATTATATTTTAATGTCTGAGATGAGGGGCAGACACAGGAACTCTGAGAATTCCAGTTTTTATTGTACAATCAAAACTGAGGGCGTTGGAGGCTGTCCTGGAACTCACTTTGTAGGCCAGGCTGGCCTTGAACTCATAGAGATCAGTCTGCCTCTTCCCCCTGAGTGCTGGGAATAAAGGTGTGCGCCACCACCGCCTAGCAATCTGCATTAATTTTCTCTTATTTTATGTGTATAGGTGTTTTGTGTGCATGTATGTCTCTACACCAGGAGCATGCAATGGCCATGGAGTTCAATAGAAAGTGTTGGATCCCCTGGAACTGGACTTACAGACAGTTGTGAGCTGCCACATGGGTGCTGGGAATCAAACCGAGGTCCTCTGGAAGAGCATCCAGTGCTCTTAACCACTGGGCCACCTCCGTAGCCCCTGGAATTTGAATTTCTTGGTTTTAGAAGAATTTAACTTTAGGAGGTGATAGAGGAGAGGGTGAGCCACAGCTCACCCAGTTTAGCTTACAACCACATGCGCAGAACAAGTTGATCATTATTTTTTCTTTTACTTGGGACGGTCTCATTATGTTGCTGTGGCTGTTCTGGAATTCTCTGTGTAGTCCAGGTTAGCCTCCAATTCACAGAGAAATGCCTGTCTTTGCCTCCTGAGTACTGGGATTTAAGGCACTCGCCATTATGCCCAGCTACGTAGTTCATTCCACTAATAACCAACCTGAGAACAACCTGGCATAACGGTACATGCCTTTAATCCCAGCATTGAGGAGGCAGAGACGAGGAAACCTATCCCTGACACAATGCTCAGGAACTCAGCTATGACCCAGCCCTTGGCTTCTATTTTGTTTGCCTGTCCTGGTTTATCATGTTGACCTACATAGTTCAAGGCATTCTCTACCCAATCCTGTCTTAGTAGATAAAGTCTATACTGTGAGCCACTTGACAATCTTGCTGTGGATTTTTAAAAAAAATATTTATTTTTATGTGCATTGGTGTTTTGCCTGTGTAAGGGTATCCAGTACCCTAGAAATGTAGCTACAGACAGTTGGTGCTGGGAATTGAACCTGGGTCTTCTAAAAGAGTAGTCAGTGGGGCTGGAAAGATGGCTCAGAGGTTAAGAGCACTGACTGCTCTTCCAGGGGTCCTGAGTTCAATTCCCAGCAACCAAATGGTGGCTCACAACCATCTACAATTCAGTCTGGTGTCCTCTTCTAGCAGAATACTGTATATGTAATGGATAAAACCTTAAAAAAAGAAAGAGTAGTCAGTGTTCTTATCCGCTGAGCTGTTTCCAGCTCTGGTTTTAAGCCCGGTAAACCAAACCCTTGAGTTCCCCACCTTAGCCTTGTGCTCCCGTCAAAATCCGCAGTCCAGTCCTGTTAAGGGAATCTAACACATACATAAGAAACGCTGTGGACCCCAAAGAAGCTTCAGCCCGCAGACCCATCTCTTACTCACACTCATAGGTTCCATATGTATGCCCTGGATGTCTGTGCCCTTCTGTGACGGCTCCTAGAATCCTCTCACATTAATGCATATTTTCGCTTGGTGTGATCCTTAAAATTTTTGGCAAGCCAGGCCTGTTGCTCAGGCTTATAATCCTAGCACTTGGGAGGCAGTGGCAGGAGGATTAGAGTTCAAGGTCATCCATGAATACACAGCACTTTGAGGCCAACATAGGCCCATCTCAAACAATTGTGATTTCGATGAGAATGGCCCCCGTGGGCTCATACATTTTAACACTTGCTCCCCAGCTGGTAGAACTGTGCAGGAAGAATTAGTAGGTATGGCCTTACTGGAAGTGGCATTTCATTGGGGGCAGGCTTTGAGGTTTCAAAAAGCTCACACCATTCTGTTAGCTATGTACCTGGTGCTTACTGATAGAGATGTGAGCTCTCAGCTACTGCCACAGTGCCATCCATGCCTGCCTGCCCTAGTGGTCATGGACTCACCCTCTGAAACTATGAGCCCCAAATAAACTCTTTATTCTATAAATTGCCTTGGTCATGGTGTCTAATCACAGCAATAGAAAAGTAACTAAGACACAAACCAAAGCTGTTAACATAGGTATCTGCAGCTCAGCTGGTGGGATGGCTCAGCAGGTAAAAGCACTTGCTCTGCAAGTCTGGGGACTTGGGCTTTATTCTCAGAACCCATGTTTGAAGGAGAGAACCAACTCTTGAGATTTGTCCTTTGATCTCCATACTACATACAATAGTAATAAATTTATAAAAGCAAAAGGAACCTGCAGCTTAGCAGACAGGAGGGTGGGAAATAGAAACTCTAGTTTTAAAAGTATGCAGAGGGGTGGAGAGATGGCTCAGAGGTTAAGAGCACTGACTGCTCTTCCAGAGGTCCTGAGTTCAATTCCCACCAACCACATGGTGGCTCACAACCATCTATAATGAGGTCTGGTAGGGGTACATGTAGACAGAACACTGTACAATATAACAAATAAATTTAAAAAATAGGGGGCTGGAGAGATGGCTCAGTGGTTAAGAGCACTGACTGTTCTTCCAGAGGTCCTGAGTTCAATTCTGGCAACCACATGGTGGTTCACAACCACCTTGAATGAGATCTAGTGCTCTCTTCTGGCATGCAGGCAGAAGACTGTATATACAATAAATAAATAAAATATTTTAAAAAATAAAAGTAAAAATGAAAGTATGCAGATGAGTGGTGGTGACACCTTTAATCCCAGGACATGGGTGGCACAGGCAGGCAGAGCTCTGTAAATTTGAGGCCAGCCTGGACTACAGAGTGAGTTCCAGCACAGCCAGATGAGATCAAGAGTTCAAAATCACCCTCCTCTAGATAGGGACTTTAAGGTCAGTCTAGGATATAGAAGGCCCTATTTCAAAAAGATAACATCACACACAAATAAGAACCTAAAAGGATGACTTAAAACTTGGTAACTTGCCGGGGGGTGGGGGTGGTGATGCCTTTAATCCCAGCACTTGGGAGGCAGAGGCAGGCGGATCTCTGTGAGTTCGAGGCCAGCCTGGTCTACAAGAGCTAGTTCCAGGACAGCCTCCAAAGCCACAGAGAAACCCTGTCTCGAAAAAAAAAAAAAAACAAGACAAACAAACAACAACAAAAAAACGTATTACTATACTGTACATAAGAGTTTAGGCAACTTACTACCTTCTGTAAGGCCTGCACCCACCATCCGGGATCCCTTTAGTCAGTTCATGGACGCCACACTGGTTCTGTCCTTACTTCTATTCAGATTTTTTCCTCTTACCTCAAGGACTTAGGGCTGCTTCTTTCAGCCTGTCTTGCTAGCTATTTCTTTTGCCTGGAATACATTTCTCCCTTTTGGCCATGGTCAAGACAAGATATCCAGTATGCAGATCCTGCAGCTGCCACCAACCTGGACCTAGACCACCTTGTGTTGTTTTTTTTTTTTGTTTGTTTTTTTGGTTTTTTGAGACAAGGTTTCTCTGTGGCTTTGGAGGCTGTCCTGGAACTAGCTCTTGTAGACCAGGCTGGCCTCGAACTCACAGAGATCCGCCTGCCTCTGCCTCCCAAGTGCTGGGATTAAAGGCGTGCGCCACCAACGCCCGGCTCACCTTGTGTTGTTTTGAGAGAATCTTGTAATGTAGCCTAAGCTGGCCTCCAATTTGTAATCCTCCAACCTCTCTCTCTCTCTCTTTTTTTTTTAGCACAATTTGTATAACACATCGAAGGCGCACGCACACTATATCGTCTGAAGGTGTGCACTCAGAAGTGTGGACACTCCCTAAATGACCGGCATCTTGGGTGATCTTGCTTGGTTCTTGTCTTTTTGGTCCTGCTTCACTAGGCCCTCCTTGGTGGGTGGAGGATCTTCCCATTAGGGTGGGAACATGCTCCACTGCCCAGCTGTTTCATTTCTCTGTATTCTGTGAGTGTTAGTCAGGTCTGCTTTTCCTGCCTCAGTTCAAAACTCAGCCACACAGAAGACCCATGATGCCCCCTTTCTACCGCCTCAGTCTCCGTTGACTGAATATCCTCCACACACTTGGGCTTCTCTAAGCACTGCAAAACACTTTCTTTTTTTCTTTTTTGGTTTTGGTTTTTTTTTTTTTTTTTGAGACAGGGTTTCTCTGTAGCTTTGGAGGCTGTCCTGGAACTCCAACTGTAGACCAGGTTGGCCTTGAGCTCATAGAAATCCGACTGCCTCTGCCTCCCGCATGCTGGGATTAAAGGCAATTGCCACCATCTCCTGGCTGCAAAACATTTTCTGATGTTCAAAAGGTACCAGTCACTGGGTATTGGTGGTGCACATCCTTAATCCCAACACTCGGGAGGCAGAGGCAGGTGGATCTCTGTGACAGCCTGGTCTACCGAGTGAGTGCCAGGATAGGCTCCAAAGCTACACAGAAAAACCCTGTCTGGAAAAACAAAAAAACAAACAAACAAAAAAGTACCACTCTGCTTCTGCTTTGAAGATTATAACATAGTTTACAACTAACTAATCACATGGCTATTCTGTCTTGTTTAGGCGCTCCCTTCTAGAGTAGATGGGAATGTAACACATTTGTTTCACCCGTTGACACTGTTGAAAAGGGCAACCCTGGAATGTCAGGGCTAAACCCCACCATTCTCAACTAACCTAATGAAGCTGGGTATACACACCTGTAATCTCAGGAATAAGGAGGCTAAGGCAGGAGGAGCTGGGCACATAACTCAATGGAAAAAGAATTGCCTAATATTTCCAAGGCTTTGGAGAGGTCAATCCCCAGTACTGGAAAAAAATTACTAAAATCCACATTCCCGTGTGCTCCTTAGGTAGAAAGCCATATTATTTCAAGTGTTCTATCTGAATTTTGTCCACCATTACTGCACCTTGCAAAGCTCAGAAATCCAGAACCAGGACTTATGTGTAAGTCTGAGAATTACAAAGAATGCCAAGGTTGACTCTACCCTTCCTTGCTCAAGATTTGATGAATAAAGACCCCAAAGTTCTTTCTCTTTATGTGCCTTTTTCTTTTAATTTCTTTTCTGCTTCAACACCCTCCCTCCCAAATTACCCAGAAAGCCTGCGACTGGGCAATTAAACAAGAGACCTCAAAAAGCCAGGGCAAGCCAGCCCAAGATGAGCAGACTTCCTCCAACAGGACCCACAATCTGGATGCTAGTGTCTCCACTCAGAGCCTGGTAGTAAAAGCTGGTACAGAATAAGGTAGTTCCAGAAGCTAGCAGTAATCCTGCCTGAAAGAGACGAAAAACAGAATACGGTGTTTTAAGAATAAAGCGGTATGAGAGAATGGATGGGGTTTGATGAGAATTAGGTGAGGGAACTGATTACCCAGAGGGGCTTTCTGCAATGGGGTACACCTAACAGGGCCAGGCTGTGCAAAAAGTGGTGCTTGTTGGCTTTGTCAAAGAGCTGCAAGGGAAAAAAAAAAGAGAGAGAGAGAGAGAGAGAGACATTTCCTAAGCAACACAGGAGCCTAGGATCCTCAAGTGGCACACAGGACCGAAGTCCAGTTCCAGCCTTGCAGCCCTTCCCATTAATGTCCCCACCCTCTACTTTCAACATCCCTATTCTCCAGCTTAAGGACACCCAGATATTGCGCCTGTAGTCCCAACTCCGGGATCCCCAGTATTGTTACTTCACCTCCTTCCCGTAGGCATCCGGAAATTGGGCGCCTGTGGAAAGAAGCAAAAGCTATCACATATGTATATTAGCCTCGACTGTCCCAAACCCCGGGGAACCCGCACAGACACTGGTCAAAGAGGGCACCCCCGAAAGCTTCCGATTAGCGGAAACTGGTGTCGAGTAGTACTGAGAAGCTTTTGAACCCACTGAAAAACTGGACTCAAAGGGATCTCTACTCAAGTCACAGAGTTTCCTTCCCGCATCAGACCCCCAAAGATGGCCCCCAGCCCAGTTGCGTCCCACGTCCCCTGACCGTGTGCCCCGTAGGAGGCCAAACCCAAGGCTCCAGCTCCGGACAAGGCACCCAGGCGGCGGAAAGCAGCCCCTACCACGGCCATGGCTGTGGGTGGTCACGCGCGGAACCAACACCGCCCTGGCCACCCAAGAAACCAGCCAATCCAGATTGCCCATGCAAATAAGGTCCAAAAATGCCCAATCAGAGATGTGTTCATTTCAGTGCCCCGACTCCCCCCTACCTACGCCTTTGTAAAACTTCTGCTGAGTGGAGAAGACGTCTGGCGGGCGGAGAAACTGGAGCCAATTAGGAGCGGAGCAGCGGAGCAGTGGGAGACGAGGTTGTGGGAGGGACTAAAGGATTTGCGTCACGGATTGGCCCACTTTCCAAGTTGATCGCCTCTTCGACACCCCAACCTCACACCTCCAGCTAATTTGCAAAGATATCGGTCCCCGCACAAAGTTCCGCCCCTTTTCCCACAGGCTCCTCCCGTTCAACTTCAAACCAGACCCACTCCTCAAAAGGGGCGGCCCCACGATTTTCTAAGCCCCACCTATTGCCATCAAACCCCTCCCACTTCACGGATGGCCCCGCCCCTGTGCCTGGAGGCCCCTCCTTCTTGTGTGATGCCCTGCCCTCTGTATTTCATCCCCCTTGCTAGACCCGGAGAGCCCCGAGGGTGGGAGATCCGGGGGGAATGTCTTCACCCTTCCCCAGCCCGCTACGTCCATCCGTCGGTCTGTCCACTCCCACCCCCTTCACTGTCTTCAATCCCCCCACACTCTAGAGGGCGGGTGGGCAGGCGGCTGCGAGCGAGGGGTGTGCGCCGCTCTCTCGGCAGGGGGCGGGGGAGGCGGCCGCGCGGTGACGCGCGGGGCTGCTGCGGCTGCTCCGCCGGCGGATCATCACTCTCGGGCTGGGATGGACGCGGGGCGGGCGGGCCCTGGCGCGCAGAGCCAGGAGTCCGGGCCTCCTGGCTACTGAGCATTCCCCAAAGCCTCCCCCAGCCCTTGCCTTCCTTCCTAGGAGCCGCACCGACCTCTGCCTCGAGGCTTCGGACTTGGCCCCCGCCCTCTTCTGACTCCCCGGATCTCCCTCTCTCGCCCGCCCTCGGGATCGACTAGATCCCTCCCCCTCCCTGAGGATTCCGGCTGGATCCCTGCCCCTGCACCGCGGATTCTGCGCTCCGGGGTACCGGGCCCCTGGGGATTGCTGTGGACTCCTCCTCCAGCGCCCGATCCCTTAGGATCTTCCGCCTGGACCGCCTCCTGGTCCCTCGAAGCCGGCCCAGAGAGCCAGTGGATCTCCAATCCAATCCTGTTCCGTTGCTCCCTCCTGGCTCAGCCTTCCCCACTGCGGGGTTCCCTGTTCTTGAGCTCCCTCTGACCCCATACCCTAGCTTTCCTTTTCCCGGGGATCGACTGGATCCCGGCCCCGCCCCCCGGGGCTGGGGCGATCCCCCTCCCCCGCCGGGTGAGGCGCTGCAGGCGGGGGCTGGGCCTGCGGGGCCGCGGGGGCTCAGAGGCCGCCGCCCCCCTTCTGAAACCCGTCCGCCCCCCACTCGGAGCCCTGGATGGAGGCACCACGGCCCCAGGGCTGATCCAGGTAGGAGCTAAGCCAGGCTGGGTGGAGGGGGCTGCGCGGCGGTCCGTTGGGGTCTTCCTCTTCCCATATTCCTTCCTGAGCCTGGTTTCCCCCAGCCTGCTGTGTCTGCGTGTCTCCGCCTAGGGATGCTCTCGCCGTGTCTCTGCGTCTTGGTCTCTTTGTCTCTGCCTCTCTCCAGTCCATGAATGATCCTTTGAATGGGCCCACAGACCCCGTGTGTTCCCATCTCCCCCTCCCCCTCCTTCTCCCCTTCCCGGCCAAGCCATTTTCCCCACTGCAGGAAAGGGGGGGCTGCGGCCTGAGCCCCCGTCCCTCAACTCTCCCCGGTTGGGGGAGTCAGGCCTGGGCTGGAATGGAAGAGCAAGGCAGAGGGATCGGGAAGAGGGGGAGCAAAATGTAGCAGACAGAGATGGAGAGAGAAAATGGGGGAGAAAGAAATAGAGAAAGGAGAGAGAGAGAGGGAGAAAATCAGAGAAGGTATTTGGAGGAGAGAGCGATGAGAAACACCAAGGAGACAAATGGGAAAAGACCGAGGGATGAGAGACTGAAGGCAAGAGCTGGAGCAAGCCGGTTAAGGCCAAGAAAAGATGCTCTGAGGGCTCCTGTATAGAGGAGAAAGATGCAGGGAGGGCTCTAGTGGGAGGGAAGAGAGAAAAGCTAGTTGGAGGAGAGGAGGCATGGAGCCCAAAGTACCGTTAAGGGAAAGGGGTGACTGAGGCAGGCCATGTTGGGAGGAGGGAGAAGGGACAGCAAGGCCCAGCCTGGCCTAGGAAGGGGGTGGGGAGCCAACTCCGAACCCCCTTCAGGTGATGGGAGAACAGAAGCCTAAAAGGACCTGAAAAGGGGGAGGGCATGACTGGGTGTGAGTGGTGAGGGCTCTGGTGTCCCCATCTCTGGAATAAATTGACACCTGCAGAGAGCCACCCTCGGGCTGGCGCCTGGCTCTGAAAAACCCAGCGTCAGCAAACAGCCTGGAGACTGGAGGGGGGGTGCCATTGGGGGCTTGCTGAAATGACCTGGGTGTCTGCCCTGCCTACCTTTTCCTCGGTCCTGCCCCTGCTACCTGAGCACCCAGGCTGGCCAGGGGAAGGGGAGGGAGGGCTAATACAAGGGATGGGATGAGAAGAAATCCTGAGGTCAAAATGCTATGCAAGAAACCCAGATGGGGTCTAAGGAATGGGGATGTCAGTAGGCTTATTTGAGAAGCTCACCTCAGCACGGCCCCCCACCCCCAACCTGCCAGAGACCTGGTCAGTAGGGTTAGGCTCTGATTGGCTAAGTAGGATGGGGGGGCATCTCTTTTAGGATTCTCTGTTCTCCTGGACTGCGCTTTCCCTCATATCTTCTTCCTCATGCTAAGATTGGGTGAAACTAGCATTCTGACTCATGCCTCTGCCCTCCCTCTCATGGCCTGAATGGACCCTTCAACCAAGCAAGCCCCTTCCCCTCTTCCTTTTAGACCACCCCCCTCCAGGGTTAAAGCTGCAGCCCGTTGCCGAGGTAACATTGCGGGGCAGCATCCTGTCGCCCAGCAACCGGCTGCAGGATCATGCATCTGTCCCTGGATTTGCCCCTTCAGCATCCCCTCCTCACTTTAACCCCTGACTCTGGGCACCCTAACTTCTGAGAGAAGACATGGAGGGGCCTGGGAAGAAAGGGTTCCCAAGTGCTCAGATCCTTAGGGAATGGTACAGTGATGGGAACGGCTGGAACTGGGGTTGTTAGTGCAAGAAGGCCCAGTGTCTGGCCTGGGGTGGGGGTTCAGCACCATGAAATTACAGCTCAGGAGTAATTAACACGTATAAACAAACCCGCCACTTCCTGCTAATTAATGACTCGGTATTTTTATTTTCTCTTCCTTGTCTGTCTCATTGTCTCCCAGGGAAGTGGGGACCGGGACTCCTGAGTCCCTAGGGGGAGCCTGCCTGGGGAGGATAGAGGCAGGAAAGGGGGACACTGAGTCTGGGACACTGAAGCTCCCTCCTCTGACCTGGATGGACATTTGCCACATTTGACTCCACCTCAAACTTAGGACTCTGCAGAGGGGGAGAGGGCAGTAGAGGGGGAGGGGGTAGGTGTCCAAGAGGTTGGGTGGGAGAAAGGGGCAACTTGATTTGAAATTCAAATCACTAACCACTTGTCTCTTGTTTCCCCATCCTTTCTGTCCTCCCCATCCAATTTCCCTTCCCTTTTCCACCTCTATTTTTCTGTCTGTCTGTCTGTCTGTCTGTCTGTCTGTCTGTCTGTCTCTTGCACACCCTATCCGGGTCCCCGGGTCCCGCCCCCCTCCCGGCCCCCCGTCACCGGGCAGGTCGGGCCTGCCTGCACCGTCTTCTACCTTCTTCCCCTTCCCCACCCCTTCCCCCCTCCATGGAGAGGAATAGACTCCTCTTCTGCCCCTTCTAACCCAGGTCCCTATCCGTCCCCCTCCTCCTTCCTTTCCCCGCCCCCTCCTCCCTCCTGGGGCGAGGGGGGCCTCCCTCCCTCTCCCCCCCTTCTCTCTCTCTCCGAGGGGGGGGCCAGGGGAGGGAGGGGGGGTCCCCCTATCAGCATGTGGCTCCTGGCGTTGTGTCTGGTGGGGCTGGCTGGGGCTCAACGGGGAGGAGGGGGTCCCGGCGGCGGCGCCCCGGGCGGCCCAGGCCTGGGCCTCGGCAGCCTCGGGGAGGAGCGCTTCCCGGTGGTGAACACAGCCTACGGGCGAGTGCGCGGTGTACGGCGCGAGCTCAACAACGAGATCCTGGGTCCGGTCGTGCAGTTCTTGGGCGTGCCCTACGCCACGCCGCCCTTGGGCGCCCGCCGCTTCCAGCCGCCTGAGGCACCGGCCTCGTGGCCCGGCGTGCGCAACGCCACCACCCTGCCGCCCGCCTGCCCGCAGAACCTGCACGGGGCCCTGCCGGCCATCATGCTGCCTGTGTGGTTCACCGACAACTTGGAGGCGGCTGCCACCTACGTACAGAACCAGAGCGAGGACTGCCTGTACCTCAACCTCTACGTGCCCACTGAGGACGGTAAGGGCACGGGCACAAGGCCGGGCACCCTGTGGACACAACCCATAAACGCACACGCAGACCCTCAAGCACAGGACCGACTCCTGCCCCTAAGCTGTGTCTTGATGGGCAATGAGGGGCAGTATATCCCTGCAAGCCTCTGCGCATCCTCCCAGGTAAGGGCGCCTGGTTATCAGGCAGTCCTAGGAACACCCATAAGTAGTCTCATCCACACCAGAAACTCTTTGTGCCCTAAGAAGGAAGGGTAGCTGGCATTAGGTCAGGCTCACCCACCGCTCCCTAAAGAGGCACACAGTCAGATACTTAATCTCAATACTGGTGGCTGGTGACTCAGGTGATAGATGTCTCCATGGCTTGCCTCTGTCTCCTCCCTTCCTCCCAACTAACTACATCCACATTTTAGTTCCAGCCATACCACTTAGAGTCCCGTCCTCAGGCCCACCTGCCCTGATCTCTATCAAATGGCACCTGTCAGTCTTTTAGCTGATTGAGTGCCTTTGTCAGTGGTACTCAGTGACTTCTTATGAACAGATTTCTGTCCTCTATACAGAAATCCCTAC